GTTTCAAGATTTTCTCAGTCGGCATTCCCACCGCATAGAGAGCAACATCATCAAAATGTGAGGCATCACCACCGCCATTCTCGAAGTACCTAACGACATCATTATCCTGTTACCTTGGCGCCGTCGAAGTCATTCCTTACTGGCACTATCAGCCTCTCACCCCGGCGTCGTCGAAAAGGACGTGAGTCCCAAGCTGTTGAACGCGATGTCACTGCAGGGTAGCGACTGGGAGCGAATTGGCACGGTGTTGGTGCCAGATCGTGAGATCGTTTTGTCGACACCGCCGCCGTGTGTTGGCAGGTAGCCATGACCATATCATATGAATCACAATCACTACATGTGGCAAATGAGAACAGAAGTAGCGTGGTAGAAATATTCACATCCATCGCATCGAGCTGATTGATGACTTCTACTTGCTGCTCCTTTTGAGTTGGACTATGTGTTCGGGAGCGCGCGCTGTTTTTACTGCTGGATGTGGCTTTGAACAGTTGTGAGGACCTTGCCAAGGTGCAGTCTGGTAGTCGATTCGGCTTCGCACCGGCACAAGATGAGCTCCATGTCGGTTCCAATTTGAGGGCCACGTCCGTCTGCCAGCCCCCCACCTGCAGGTACAAAGGCCTCCGCAGTCGATGGTAGGAACGAAGGGTTGCTTTGGGCTTGGAGGTTGAAGGCCAGGACAGAAGCCCGCCGATGATTCCGATTTCCGCAAGCAAAGACAAACCAAGATCCAAGCCGGCCGCAGGCGCCGATTCGTTCAATCGCGGCAGGTTGGCCGACGTGCGGAAAAAACGAGACGCCGCACGTTCAAAAAACGTGTCGAGGCAAGAGCCCGCTGTGGGCGCCAAACTTTCGTCGGAGCGAGGGGTTCCGCTCACGTGAGCCCACCTCAGGTCGCACACGTGTCAGCTGGCTCGGGGCGGCCACACGTCGTTGGTTCACATTTATTGCTTCTGAGGAAGCCTTGCCCTCCTTCTGGCGGACGTCGCCCGACAGCTTAGAACGCCACACGGGATCCAGTGACGCCACGGCCGGGGCCCTCGACACCCTCGGGCCTGCGGCACGCGGCCGAGGAGGGGGGCCGGCGGGGCAGGGCCCGGAGCTGGGGGCGGGGAGGCCGGGGCCCGCCGCCGCGTGGGGCCCCGCGGGGAGCGCGTGCCTGCTGCGCACCTGGGGGCCTGCTCGCAAGCGCTCGAGGTGCACACGCCTGCCCCGACGTGATGGGCCATGCTGTGATACGAGCCCCCGCGGCGGATCCGGGCCATTTGCGGGCAGCCGCTTTGCGAGCAGTGGAAAGTCTACAGTCGAAACCGATGATAAGGATGTGTAGCCCTCCCAAGGGTACCCTGACATCCTTGCCTTCTTTCGGTGGCCCGCCGCGCACGAAGAAGCTTCAACACGGGCGTCCAAGGGGCTTGCATCTTTGCCGCGCTCCCCTCCGTTTCTCGCTCCTCGGCTCCCCGCTCTCCTGCCCGTTTCTGTCACTTGCCTGGCCCGCTTGTTTTTGTCGTCCCGTCCCGTGGTCCGAAGAGGAGCTGCGGTGGCCCGCACGGCCACGCTGGCGAACGGCCTGGCGTGGGACGAGGACTTGACCTGCCTCTTCAGAACTTGCCAGAGATGTTCTCATCTGCGTTCACGGCGAAATCTGACGCTGTGGGTTCCTACCATCGGCTTTGACTGTGTCTTCGGTCCGCGCAGGAGCGCCCTGCCTGGGCAGCCCCCCCCAGCGGGCGGTGCCTCGCCGCCTGCCTCGCTCTGTGTGGCATGTGGTGCGCCCTGGCGCCGTGCGAGACCACGGGGGGGGAGGCATCAAAGGGGGGGGGGGGGCGGAGTGCCCCGCCCGCCCGGGGTGCCCGGAGCGCGTCGCCGTGGAGCAGCGGGGGCGCCGGCTGCGGCTTGCGCAGGAGCGCGCTGCTCAACAAAAAATCGGGGCCGGCGGCCGACGTCTGTTCTGCTCCTATGTCTGCGAGCACGGCGCGCGTCACTCCTCCCCCTCCTCGATCATGCCCAGACCCGCCTGAGCCCGACACTGACTAGAGAATGTTGGTCCTGGTGTGTGTCTCTCCCCCTCTCTCTCTCTCTCTCCCTCTCTCCCTCTCTCTCGCCTGTTCTGCTTTGCCTCCTGGCTCGGTCGCCCCTTCCTGCCTCTGCTGCTGGCGCGTCGCCCCTTCCTGCCTCTGCTGCTGGCGCGTTACGCGTGTTGTGTTGTTACGTTGTCATGCGTGGAGCCTGCGTAGCTGCCGCCGTCATCGATACCATTACTTGCTGCGCCTGTAGGCCACGCTTCATCTCCTTCTCGATCATCCCTTGTCGATCCTTCCTTCCCGCAGGCAGTTCCCCGAGTGTCGGATGAAGCAGTCGGGCCACGGCGCCAAGGGCGTCCAAGGATCCACACACACACATTTCCGCCGGCGGAGGGAGAGTTATAGGACGAGGGAGAGCAGGGAGCAGGAAGAGGAGGGGGAAGGCTCAGGAACCACCAGGATCGGACTACCCGGCAGTGTGGAACAGGAGAAGTGGAGACCCGTGAGGCAAAATGTTTGATTGCAGGCATCCAGCCGCTTGCGGGAGGTCCCGACATTGCCAGCTCAGCATTCTGGGGGGCGACTGGTCGGGGAGCGTACAGGAGGTCAAGACTAAACAGGCGAGTAGGTTGAAAGGTACGTTTCGTGGAGGAAATGAGACGATGTTTGCCTCGTGGGGCCCTCTCGGCAGTCCTCTAGGAGCACTCTTGGGCCGTCTTGGAGGCCTCGTTGACCGGCTTGAAGCCATTTTGGACCGTCGCGGATTACCTTGGGCCGTCGCGACACTTTCTCGGGCTGTCTCGGCGCTCTGTTTGGGCACTCTTCGGCCGTCTTGGGGCTCTTTGAAACCTCCTCTGGAGAACCCCCAGGGGTGCGTCGACGAGCTCGTGCCCCCCCCCCCCTAGAACGATTTGTTTCCAAGGGAGGGGCGCAGCCCAATGTTTCACACGCTTTTTCATCCCTCCTCCTCCTCAGAAGCAGACATACAATCAGGACGACGACCATGACGACGAGAGGAGGAGGAGGCTACGAAGATCTGCTGGCGGCCTGCGGGCGGGAATGCAGCCAGACCGCCGCGGTGACTGTTGGCCTCGCCCTTTACCTCCATCGACGCCTGGCCTTATGACATTTCAATTAATGTAGGCATGCAATTTGTTGCAGCCCATGAACCTGACAGTGCCTCGGGATTGCCAGAGCTCCTGAAGCCGCGTGGAGGCGAAAGCCGTGCCCAAATTGAATGTTGCATTGAATGTGTCACTTTGCCACGCTCGCAAGTGCCTTCTTTTGTTACCGATGTGCCTTGTGCCTCTCACTGTTTCGCTGAAGGGAGAATGGCGCTAACACTCCCCGAGAGAGCCCCCACAGAGCCATAAGACACGCCCAGGCAGGCCACGAAGACCCCAGTAACTCCCGAGAGAGCCCCAAGAAGCTCCCAAGATGCCCCAAGATAGCCGCAGACGGCCCCAACAGCCCCCAGGATAGCTTCAAGAGATCACGAGGACACCCCTTCTTCGATGTCTGTTTCCTCCTGCTCCTCAACGTCCTCCTTGGTTGTCGTCGTCCTCCCCCTCCTCTTCTTCCTCCTCCTCCTACTCCGCCTCCTCATCATCTTCCTCTTCCTCGTCCTCCTCCTCCACCTCCTTCTCCTCTTCCTCCTCTTCCTCCTCGTCCGCGTCATTTCTCCTCGCGCTCGTCCTCCTACAGCTCTTTCTCCTCGGCCTTATGCTGGTCTTCCTACTCGTTGTCATCGTGCTTCCCTCGCTGCCCTCCCTGTCCTTCACGCTGTCATCTTCGTCATCCGCCGCCTTGTCGTCGCCATCATCCTTCTTTTCTTTTCCCCCCCACGAGCCCAATGGACAAAGTCGTCGTTTCCCGCACTGCTCCGATCAGGTTCACAAAGAGGGGGGGGCTCGCGGAATTGCGGCCTCCCCATCCGCCCGGCCAAGCGGCGGCCGACGGCAACGGCAAGGCAGAGAGCCGAAGGCCGCTGGCGTCAAGGGCTCCCCCTCCTCCTCCTCCGCCTCCTCCTCTTTCTCCTGGCAAAAAAAATTCCCCGATGAGATCCAAGATATTTCGCCGTCCTGGGGCCCGTTATGCTTCGAGCGTCTGGAGGTTGTCGGTCAAAACGTTGCCTCGTTCATCCAGTTGAGTTCATTGCGCAGCGTTTGTAATGCTTGGAACACCTTTCGGAGATACCGCCAGCCTACCCTGGGGTGTCTATATGGATGTCAGTGTATGGGGGGAGATCAGCTTCATCATTATCTTCAATGCCCTGTTCTTCTAGAAGTGATGCGTTCCCACCTGCCATGTCTCCCTGCCTGGTGGGTTGGTGGAGGCGTTTGTTGGTCGCCTGCTCTGTTCCCAGTCTCTTGGAAAAGATGGGCTGTGCAGTATAGGCATTGCACATGACGTATTACTAAACACGTTTAGCAAGCTACGCTCTGCAGGGGATTAGAGCGCCACCCGTACCCGCCAGTTCGCCGAGGGAAGGCTCAGGCTGATCTGCCGACGGGATGCCAGGGCAAGGACCTTGGCACGGTAGCAGCCAGGTGAGCAAGGAGAGCTTGACCTCCTCCTCCTCCTCCTCCTCCTCCTCCTCCTGCTCCTCCTGCTCCTCCTCCTCCGCCTCCTCCTCCTCCTCGTCCTCCTCCTCCTCCTCTTCCTCCTCCCCCGCTTCCCCGGACGGGGAAGCGGAGGCCCTGGGATGGTTTTCGCGTCCAGCGCGCAGGCAGAGGTGAAAGCAGCACAGGTCGGCCACGCACACAGGGGGGTACTGGGAGGGGGGACGGCTTCGTAGAAGCACCCCTGCTTCTTGGAAGGCGAGGGCCTTTTCTGCAGATGCAGGGCCAGCGCCTTCTAAGAGGCAGCCTCCTCCTAAGAAGCCGTCCCCTCTCCCCCTTTACCCCCTTTGTGCGCACCGCCAGACAGGGCGAGGGCAGGGAGCCCCGGGGGGAGCAGGCCGAGGCAGAGGGGGCAGACGGACGGGGCGGAGGCGCGCTGGGGGCAGAAAGGCCCTCGCCCCGGGCCTTTCGGTGCTCCTGACTGCAGTTCCGAGGAATCCCTGCCTGTGGTTCCTGCATGCATGATCCGCGATGGCGCCCACCATATGCTGTGCGGGCCGCTGCGCTGCTTCAGCAGGCAATCCGGGCGGCTAGCTGGTAGTGAGCTGCGAGCGTGCAGCACGGGGTTGGGGAGCTGCGTGGGGAACAGGCAGACAGATAGCATATATATATATATACACACACAAAACTGAAAGACTTCTAAGACAGCGACCGAGCAGCGATTCTTCCACAGCATGACGTGTCAGAGTTGGCACCGCTTCAGCGCCCGCTGCTCTGCGCAGGACTCCGAGTCAGAACGGTTTGAACCGAAACCCGAAGCAGTGCAGCAACAAAAGCACCCCTCAACGATCACGTCCCCTCGACGACGACGACGACGACGACGACGACGACGACCCCTCGACGACCCCTCGACGATCACGTCCCCTCGACGACGACCACGACCACGGCCACGGCTACAACGACGACGACGACGACGAGGGCCTCCGAGAAAGAGCGCGCGGCCCCCAGCCATCGCGGAGAGGGCGCACGGGCTCCTGAAGACCCGCCTCGCTCCGGGCACCCAGTGGGCCCAGGAGCGCTTCGGCGGCGACGCCTGGGGCTTTGCTCGGCCACGGCGCCCTCGGCGGTGGTGGGCTCGCCCGAGCGGCCTGCAGGTTGCCCGCGGGCTCCCCAGCGATCGTCCGATCGAGGATCCATCGATCGAGGATCGATCGATCTGGGATCGATCGTCGTTGTGTGATGTCCGACCCCGAATCAAACCTCCAGGTCGGTTTGGAGGTCGCCGTGTCCATCGCGGCGGCCACGCATCGTGGCAAGGTGTTTGTCGAGGAGTGGCATGCAGACGCAGCCCATCGCAAGCAAGAGAGGGACAGGGAGCTGTCAGGTCACGCCCAACCTGGGCAGTCATGACTTTATGTTGTTGGGGTCGGCGGCGAGCGAGGGGGGGAAGTGAGAAGGAGAAGGCCTTCTCAGAAGGCGGCGGGGCTTCTCAGAAGCCCTCCAGCCGTCCGAGAAGTTCTGCGCCTTCGGAGAAGGCCCAGAAAACCTCCCAGAGAGGCGGGGGACTTCCGAGCCTTCTCAGAAGTCCCGGCCCCCTTCACTTCCCTCCCAGGCTCGACGCCAATAGGGGTTGATTAGTCGCGCCCTGCTGGAAAAGAGTTTGTATGGCCGTCCAAGGCCCTTGCATCTCGATCGCGCATCCTTGCTATCAGTGTTGACTGCAATCGCGCAGTCAGATCGATCGGACGATCCTCGATCGGAGGATCCTCGAGCGGGTCTTGCCGCGGCGGGCCTTGGGCCTGCGAGCCGGGCGAGCAAGCGGAGCGATCGAGCGAGGGGTGTCAGAGGCGGGGCCCCGAGGGGCGGGGTCTCGGAGGACAGTCAGCACGGATGATGGCTATCCGACGTCGTCGTCGTCCTCCTCCTCCTCCTCCGCCTCTTCCGCCCTCCCTCCTCACCCAAGGCATAAAGGCCAGATGCGACACCAAATTCGGCGAGAGGACAACTAGTCAGCGCAATGGGCAGGGATGGGAGGGAGGGCTGGTACGGGGGTCAATGCAAACGGGGGTCAGCCAGAGCGCCGGATCTTGCAGGATCCTGCAGAGCCAGGGGTGCATTGACCCAGGCTTGCGCGCAGGATCTTGCGGGATCTTGCAGGATTCTTCAAAGCCTGACTGACCAGGGTTTGCATTGACCGGGGTCAGTGCGTCCCCGAGTCCTGGCCCCTCGGCCTTTCCCTCGTTTCTGTCCTCCCCTCTTGTTCTTCCTGTCCTCCCGCTGTTTGGGTCTCTTCGTGGTTCCACGGACGCGGTGGTCGCCGGGCCACCATCTCAAGAGATGTTCTGGTAGCAATGCACTCAGGCTCGCTTCACGGAGGTGCTGTGTCGTGGTGTTGCCCGTTCCGTCTTCTCCCTCCAAACCTGCCCTGAACAAAACATGCAAAAAAGTAGGACAGTCCACACGGATAGGCAGGAAAAACGATTTTCCATTGTTGTTTTTGCATCCTTCCCTTTCAGCCCATCCCTGGCCACTCTCGCTGGCCGCGCCCCGCTCGAGAGGTGTCGGCATGGCCTTCCAGGGCCATTTGCATCCTTAGTGCATCCTTGTTGTACGCGTTTACTGTAGGAGAACTTCGGTAGCAAATCATGGAGCCTTGTATGTCCTCGCATTTCCGTCCTTAGAGTGCATTAGCTTGCGATATCGGTAGTCAATGAGACCGCGCCGATTTAACGTCGAGAACCTTCGATGACCGTCGGCTCGAGCCGGTTAGTGTCGACTAGCCTCGATTAGTGTCGATTCGCAAGAGCCAGCAAGATGGCATGGGAGGCCCCCACGAGTTGCCACAGAAGAGAGGGCTTCCAGGCTGAATCTGCACTGGCCAGTACCTCCTCGCCGTACGGCCCCGCGTCGAAGTGCCCGATCTTTGGAGGAGGAGGAGGAGGAGGACGAGGAGGAGGAGGAGTGGAGCCCACGAGAGCGTGTCCTGTGGCTGCGCACGCCTCATGAGAGAGGGAAGACCTAAGGGTGTCCGGCAGAGGGGCGGAGGGAAGAGGAGGAACGAGGAGGAACGAGGAGGAACGAGGAGGAGGAGGAGGAGGAGGAGCAGGAGGAGGAGGAGGAGGAGGAGGGAGGGGGGAGAAGGGACGAGGAGGAAGAGGAGGAGGAGGAGAGTAGTAGGGAGGAGGACGGGGGGATCATTCGAAAGATTGTGTTGAGGTCTCCGGACCCCGCGTCATGATCGACCAAGGCGTCGGGGGTCCGGGTTGTTCGGGAGCCCCGTGCAGGATTTTCAGGGGGGGGTCCCACGGGTGAGGGGGGGGTCCCACGGGCGAGCCCAGCTCCTTGGGAAAGCCCAGTGCACAGAGCGAGGGCTGCGCAAGCGGAATCGAAGCTCGCGTTGGACGGTTAGCGAATCCCGATCAAGGATCCTAGGGGTATTGCCCCCATCAGCCGTAGCGGGATGCATCCGATTCGGGTTCCGGCTACAGTGCGACTTTCTTCCGTTAACCCCCCTCCCCGTAAGGGTGGTATTTTTGTGTAGGTGGCTTGTGTGTAAGGGTGAGGTTTAAAAATATCATCCTCATCATCATCATCATCAGCAGCAGCATCATCATCAGCATTAGCATCAGCATCAGCATCAGCATCATCATCATCATCAGCATCAGCATCAGCATCATCATCATCAGCATCATCATGTCCCCCAGGGAGGGCGGGATCATCATCATCATCAGCATCATAAGTATCATCATCAGCATCATCATCAGCAGCAGCATCAGCAGCATCAGCAGCAGCATCAGCATCATCTCTTCTTCATATTCCTCCTCATCTCCCCTCTCCCCCTCGCAATCAAAACAATAAGACGTCTGTACAATCAGCAGCAAGTAGAAAACCATACAATTAAAAAAAACATAGGACATCCACATAATCAAGAACAAACAGAAATCCAGGCAATCAAAAACAGTAAGAAATCCATGCCATATAAATCCAGACAAACAACAAAAACAAACAGAAAACCGTACAAACAAAAACAAACAGAAATCCATGCGATGAAAAAATAGCAATACATACCAGCAACAGTAATAAGACATCCATACAAACAAAACAACAATAAGTCCATCCAATCAAAAACCATAAGCAAACGTCTTGGGTCCACGAACCCTGTGAGGGTAAAACAACAACAACAATAACAACAACAACAACAACAGCAACAACAACAACAACATCTGTGAGGGATCCAAAAAACAACAAAAAATGGGTTTCGGGATTTCAGGCTGCCTGGGCGGATCAGGCTGCCTGGCCGCAGCCTGATCCCCGCAGATGGGCCCACACCCTGCCCTGTCCCCTTGCCATCCCTCAGACTCTGGTGCCCCGGGTCTCAGGGGGGGGGAGGGGGGGGTATCTTTGTGTTGGTGGTTTGTGTGTGTTTCGTGTTCCTTTCTCCCATTCTCTCTCCCTTCCTCCATCCCCATCATCAACATCACCATCAACATCCTCACCCCACTCCTCCTCCCCATCGTCGTCATCATCATCCCTCCTCTCATCACCACAACAACCATCACACGTGCAATCAAAAACAATCAGAAACCCGCGCAATCAAAACAATAAGAGCACACAATCAAAAACAATACGAAATCCATACAACCAATGACAATAAGACATCCAGACACTCAACAACAATCAGACATCCATGCAACGACAAAACAATGAGCATTCCAGACAATCAAAAAAGAATCAGAAATCAATACAATCAAAAACAATAAGAAATTCATACAAACAAAAACATTAAGAATCCGCACAGTCAAAAACAATAAGGAAACGTCTGTGGTCCACGAACCCTGTGGGGTTCAAAAAAACAAATAAAACCCAAAAAACAAACCAATATAACCTGTGAGGGTTCAAAAAACAATGGTTTTCGGGACTTCGGACTCCCCCGGGCCCCTCCAAGCCAGATCCGCCCAGGCAGCCTGAAGTCCCGAAAGCCATTGATTTCTGTTGGTTGGGAACCCTCACAGGTTTTATTGCTTTGGTTTTTTCTTTCAAAGCCCTCACAGGGCTCGTAGCTCTAAGGCAAGGAAACCTGCGACTCCAATTGAAACTGAATTTAAAACAACTGTGAGGGTTTCTTTGTTTGTTTTTCTACCCCCCCCCCCCCAAAAAAAAAAACGCGAAGGACCACTTCTCCTCCCTCCTCCCCTCCTCCTCCTCCTCCTCCTCCTCCCTCCTCCTCCTCCTCCTCCTCCTCCTCCTCCTCCTCTTCCTTCTCCTCCTCCTCCACCTCCTGCACGTCCTACTCCTCCTCCTCTTCCTCGTCCTCCCCCTTTTCCTCCTCCTCCTCTTCCTCCTCCTCCTTCTCCATCTCCTTCTTCTCCTCCTCCTCTCTCTCTCTCTCTCTCTCTCTGTCTCTCTTTGATGAGACAGAGAAAGAGGAGGAGGAGGAGGAAGAGGAGGAGGAGGTCGTGCTTGAGGTGGAGGAGGAGGAGGAGGAGGGAGGAGGAGGAGGGAGGAGGAGGAGAAACCCTTTGCGCAAAAACCTGCTGGTTTTTTGAAACCCTCACAGGTTTTAAATATTTTCAAGTAGATTCATTGGTTGTTCAATGACAGTCACAGGCTTCCTTTCCTTAGAGCTGCGAACCCTGTGAGGGTTCCAGAAAAACTGCGAGGGTTCCAGAAAAAGAATCAATTGTGTTCGGGGCTTCAGGCTGCCTGGGCGGATCTGGCCTGGAGGGGCCCGGAGAAAATCCGAAGTCCCGAAAACAATTGGTTTTTGTTTTTTGGGAACCCTCACAGGTTTTATTGGTTTGTTGTTTGGGTTTTATTTCTGGTTTTTGAACCCTCACAGAGTTCGTGGACCCAAGACGTTTTCTTGTTGTTTTGATTGTACGGATTCTCACTGTTTTTGATTGTATGGATTTCTGATTGTTTTTGATTGTATTGATTTGTTGTTTTTTTTGATTGTGTGGTATGCTTGTGGTTTTGTCATTGCATGGATTTCCCATTGTTTTGAGTGTATGGATGTCTTATTGTCATTGATTGCATGGATTTCTCAGTGTTTTGGATTGTGTGGTGCTCTTCTTGTTTTGATGTTATGGACTTCTGATTGGTTTTGATTGTACGTATGATGGTCATTGTGGTGATGATGAAGAGGGACGATGACGACGATGAGGAGGGGGAGGAGTGGGGTGAGGATGTTGATGGTGATGTTGATGATGAGGATGGAAGCAGGGAGAGAGAAAGGGGGAAAGAACATACACACAAACCACCTACACAAATATTACTCTCACCCCTCCCCCCACCGCTGAGACCCGGGGCACCAGAGTCTGAGGGATGGCAAGGGGACAGGGCAGGGTGTGGGCCCATCTGCGGGGATCAGGCTGTGGCCAGGCAGCCCGTCATCCACGGGTGGACTCCTTGCGTCGTGGTGGAGCCTTTCATTTGCGACGGTATCGGTTGGGCGCCTCGCCTGATCCCCAGGGAAGTACTGGCCTTGGTACGGCAGTGGTGACTAGCGCCAGTGCCGATGCTCCTCCGTTGTCTACTGCTGCACCGATGCTGGTCCTTTACCGATGCTGCTTCCCTGCGGGTGCATAAGTTCCCCCTGCCGCGCCCGCCGCACCGATGTTGTTCATCTGCCGACGAAGCACCTCCCCCCATGCCTAATGAAAGTCCATAGCATATCCGCCAGTATCGAACTGCACGCCCTCTTGCGGTATCTCTTTGATGATTCCTTTCGCCAGCGGAGCTTGTCACCCTCCTGCCAGCCCCGACCCTTTTCGGGGAGGCGGGCGCCCTTTCCAGCAGCCACGGAAAACTCTTGCGTCGTTCCAGAATCCCTCCGCTGGGTTTGACTCCAATGTGTGGAGATGCTCCGTGCGCGAGACCAGGTACCGTGACTTTATCGGCCAACGTTGTCTGGTCCTTCGGGTCGACTTGCTTGCGTCATTGCGATCGTCACGTCTCCATTGCTTAACCGCGCGGTGTCGTGAGTATAAAACCTTTCTCGTGGCGCAAATGTTCTGCCATATGAGCCCAAGTCAACAGATCTATCCGACGCTTGACAGCGCCCAACTAGCGCGTCGTGTCTGGCGTGGGGTTCCCAACTGGTGGCGGGAGTCAGGGAGGGCATACAAACAGTGCTCGAAGCTCGGGGCTGAAGGCAGCCGGGGGGCTTGAAAGCACTCGCGATTTCTCTGATCCTTGGGACCGTCTCGCGCGCTCGGGCTCCACATGGGGACGCTTTCGGGGCGGCTGTGGTGCTCTTGGCACGAGCCGCTCGACGACCGTGGTGCTCTTGACACGCCTGGGCATGTTCGCAGGGCAGTTGTTTTGAGCCGGTGTCTTGTTGTCTTCCGTATGTGGGGCGACAGCCGCATTGTTATGACGAGTCTGCGCTGCGCTGTCGTGGATGGGCGCCTCTCTCCGCGCCAGCGGGAGGCTCCGGGGAGCGCCGCCGCCGCGAGCCCTGCTGGGCTTCGGCGGGCCTCGCGGGGGGCTGCGATGTGGAGCCCTCGTCCTGGCCTTGCGCTCGAAGTGACCCCTGATGGTCGGGGACGATGAAGTCAAGATCCCCAGTGAGGATGCGCTGCTTCATCCAGGCTATCCCTGAATCCCTGCTCCTTCGGCCCGTCACACTGCTGACATCCAGGAAGCTCCCTCCAAATGGTGAATGGGACTTCCGAGGGACTTGCATGGCATCCTTCTTGTGGATTTCGACTGTAGCACCGCCCTCTCGGGACGGGCCGCTGACTGCCCGCCCCAGCGCGGTGCTCGCGCTGGGTGCGGGGGGTCGTTCCGTCGCTCGACCAAGGTCCCCGAGAACGACCACCAGCGCTCCTGGGAGTCTACAGAGGCACGCCGCAGTGGACGGCGCGGGGCTGGAAAGCAGTGATCGAAGGGCCAAAGCGCCATACATATAGTTTCTTTGAGGTCCGCGTGGATTTCTTGGATCGGCGCTGGGCTCCCCTGGCGGCGCCTTGGGCGCCGCCTCTGTCGCGTTCCGCGCGCCAGGATGGGGTGCAGCGCCGATCCAAGAAATCCGCGCGGACCTTTGAGAAAGTATGTTTACGCAGTTTGATGTTCCAAGTAACAGACAGCGACCTCAACAGGGTATTCCCATTTGGCGATCGATTAGTTTCACTGAGCGAAGACATAGTGCATTCGTACGCGCACAGGTGTTCAAGCATGTACGCAGACGTGCAGTATGGCGTCGTATAACAAAGAACCCATCGGCTATCGAGTGGGATTGGATACGCCTATGGGTTCACCATCATCGTTCTGCTCGCAGTTGGCGCTGACACAATTCATTGGTGCGCAGCTAATGGCGCACTATTTCGATGCCCAGCTTCCTGCTGGACTATGTCAATACACACGCGTGCATATTACATATACGTAAGGGCGTCGCCCCCGCCGCCGGCCCGCTCTCTCGGAGAATGTGATATGCAAGAGCTATGTTGCGAGGCCTGGGCGCAGTCGTGAAGCAGCGTTGGAACTCCGAACGGGGGTCACTTGGGTTCGGATCCCCCGTCTCGGGTCACTTTTGGGGCAGTCTTGGGGCCCTCTTGGGTCGTTTTGGGGATTTCTTGAGCCGTCTTGGGACCCTCTTGAACCGTTTTGGGGCGTTCTTGAGAGCCTTTTGGACCGTCTTGGGGCGGTCTGGGGGGGCTTCTCGGGCCATCTAGGAGCGTCGGAAGCCCAAAAAGGCGAGCATACCAAAATCCATCAAAAATCCAAGGGAAATCGCAGACATTGGCCTCTTAGGTCCCTCTTGGGTGTGCTGTTGGGGGCCTGTTGGGAGCCTCTTGGGCTGCCTTGGGACCATCTTGGGCGCCTTGGATCACTCTTGGGCCGTCTCGGAGGCCTCTCGTTCAATCTTGGGGGCCTTTTATGAAGGATTGTGGGTTTGAAAGCGCGAATATCCGAGCGTTTGTGATTTCGAGGGCGCGAAGAATTCAGAATGCACGAAAGACCGTGGCTTCGGGGACGCAAGTCGAGCGTAATTTGCGAAAGAGTACTGCTTCGGAGACGCCAGAATTACATAATTGAATCGGAGGTTGGGGGGTGAGATCGCAGTGAAACGGAGACCCCCAACCGGGAAATCGTTTCGTTTCGTTCGTGTCGTGCGAGCGGGCGAGGCGAAGCTGCGTAGGCGCGCGAGAGGAATGAACCCGCCGCTGCTAGGGCGAAGTCAAGACAAATGATTATCCCCCTCCCGCCCGCCCGTCCGGCGGTGGCTCGCGGTGTCCCGTGGTGTCCCGGGGTGTCCGCCGTTGCTAGGACGAAGTCAAGACAAATGCTTATCCCCCTCCCGCCCGCCCGTCCGGCGGTGGCTCGCGGTGTCCCGCGGTGTCCCGAGGTGTCCCGTGGTGTCCCGGGGTGTCCCGTTGAGTGAGATGGATAGTGATATCGATAGTGAGATCGATCGTGAAATCGATGTGGTGTCCCGACGTGTCCCGTGGTGTCCCGTGGTGTCCCGTTGATTGAGATGGATAGTGAGATCGATAGTGAGTTCGACAGGTGTCCCGTGGTGTCGCGTTGAGTGAGACGATAGTGAGATCGACAGTGAGATCGATATTGAGATCGATGTGGTGTCCCGAGGTGTTTTGTGGTGTCCCGTTGAGTGAGATGGATAGTGATATCGATAGTGAGATCGATTGAATCAGATGTTGGTTCCCCCCCTCTCTCCCCCCCAACCTCCTGATCATCCGATGGGTGGTCGTGTGGGTAGGGATTACGGTATCGGAAGCGCAAACACAAAGTAAGTTGCAAAGGTTGGTGGCTTCGGGGACGCACATATTGTTTCATGGGCAAGGGAGTATGGCTTCGGAGGCGCGAATATGGCATTATTTCCGAAGGGGCGATGGCTTCGGGAGCGCGAATGTCATGTATTTGAATGTGTCCCAGAACCTCCGAGAAGTTCTGAGTGCCCCCCCGGGTGGTGGTAATTAGGGCCTTTTTCGGCTCCCCCTTCGGGCGCACTTCAACAGCTCACACCCGGAAGCAGAAAGCAGGACTACAATATTGGGGACTGGAAATTGGAACTGGCTCAGGGAGCAGCATGCCTAACCCGCGGATCGTGCAAGTGGTTTTTTGAGATTACAAACAAGTTGACACATGCCACGCTCGGGCAAGCATCCCACCCACCCACCCGCAATTTGGTTTGCAAAACCCATGCGGCGGCGATTGCGATGAGTGCTTGGCGTTGGCTGGCGCATCCCCGCGGCCGCGCTAGCCCGCGCATGTTCGCGCGCACAGCGGCTGGCCAGTTTGGCGCGACCGACGCGGCCGCGGTGGCGTTGACCGCTTGGCACTTCCCAGCGGGCATTCAGTGCGAGTCGGTGACTTGGGCGGGCGCGGTATCATGGCGATGCCGACAACGGTGGAAACGATTATGGGTGCAGCGATGGCGACGAAGGTGGCGGTGGCGACGGCAAGGCCACGGACGGCGCCGACGTTGATCACGCCCGCCGATAACGACGACGGCGTCCTCGCGTAGGCGATGAAGGACCTCGAAGAGTTCGACATCCGACGCGCGCGATTGGCCCGCGCGGCATGATCTGACGCGGATCGCGCCCCCCCCCCCCCCCCTGCACGCTCGCGAGGGCGTCCGAATGATTTCGACATAGGACTTGATAAACAGATTGGAAAGCCTTTTCCTTGTTGTCTCAAGAACCCGCATGAGCGCGAACGCAAGCTAGTTTGAAAATGGAGGTTGTAAAACCGCGCGTGTTTTTTGTTTACATCAGCTTTCGGAGCACTAGATTTGAAAATCTTCACGAAACCGAATGTTTTCCCATGTGTTCAAGGAGTATGGCATGCGCGCGACGACGCGTGCGTGCATGTCGCCCCATTGTTGCCATGGGTTCTTGCGACCGCACGAGCGCAACTGCGCTCGAACGTTTTCGACGCGCGCGCGAGAGGCCAATTTGGAAGCACGTTATGAGGGCATCGAAAAGCTTCTTGGCGTACTCAAGAATTCGCACGCGCGCGGGCGCATCTTCTTTGTGTTGACCATCGCTGTTGCAAAACCACGTCATTTTCGATGTTGTCGTGGCACTCGGTTCTGAAAGCCTTGCGAAACACAATGTTTTCAAATGATGTCAGCCCGCGCGCGCGACGACGCGCGCGCATTTCGCCCCTTTTGTTGCCGGTTTTTTCTTCGGCAAATTGACGCGCGCATAATATTTGTTGCAGAGGATAGCGGGCGGGGTCGGTACCAGCCTGGCCGGAGCGGCACGAATTCATATGCAGGGTGGGCAGGGGGTCAGAATCATAAGCAAACTACACATCGTTAGTTGCAGAAGCGAGATGGCAAATTCCATATTTTTGCAAACGCCCCACCCACCAACCCGCAACTTGGGCTGCAAAACCCACGCGGCGGCGACTGCGATGAGTGCCCGGCGTTGGCTGGCGCGTCTCCGCGGCAGCGCTAGCCCGCGCACGCTCGCGCGCGCAGCGGCCAGGTAGTTTGGCGCGACGACGCGGCCGCCGCGGCGCTGGCCGCTGGGCGCTATCCAGCGGGCACTTCAGTGCGAGTCGTGGACACGAGCGGCGCGGCACCTGCGGCGACGCCGACAACGGTGGACTCGAGCGTGCGAGCAGCGACGACGGCGACGATAGCGGCGATGTCAATGAGGCCAAGGACAGCGCCGACGTTGATCACGCCCGCCGATGACGACGACGACGCCCTGGCGTCGGCGATGAAGGACCTTGAAGGAATTCGACACGCGTTCGCGGCCGACGCGCGCGATTAGCCCGCGCGGCATGCTCCGACACGGAGGATTCTCTGAGAACGGACGTCGCAGAAGCGCGTGGTTGATGTTTTCGTGGCACTCAGTTTTGAAGTCCATGCGAAGCCCATGGTTCCCCCGTTAGTTCGGCCCGCGTGCGCGACAGGGCGCTCGCGCGATTTCGACGCGCGCGCGCGAGATGCCAATATGGACGCGTGTTTTTGTTAAAACATGGAAAAAACAAACCTTGAGAAAACCTTTTGTGTGTTGCACATATATATATATATATACACGCACATATACATATATATATACATATATATATATATATATATATATATAAATAAATAAATATATATATATATATATAGATTCGCGCAAAAGCGCGAGCACGAACTGTGTTTGCATACTTTGTTGCGAAGCCATGAGTTGTTATATGCGCACGAAACCCAATGTTTCTTTCCTGGAAATTCGGCGCGCGCGACGACGCGCGCGCCTCGCCTTTTTTTTAACCGGGGATCGCTGACAACTGTCGATTTTTTATAAACGAGAGCGCGCGCATGTAATATTTGTTGCCAACGTTGGCGGGGGGGCGCCGACGCCACCAGCTCGGCCGAGCGGTGTAAATTCATATTTGCGATGGACGGCGGGGCAGAATCATTTGCAAATTGCACATCGCGGGGGGGGGGCATTAACTCCGATGGGGGGGGGTCTGAATCGAAACCAATTGCCCTAGCCAGCCCAACCAGCCAGCCCAACCAACCAGCCACCCAAACAACTCAACCGGCTCAACCAGCCCAACCAGCCACCCCGCAACCCCAGCCAACCCGCCACCCCGCCAACCCGCCCACCCCCGCCGCCTGCCCTCCGTCACCGTCGAAAGGGGGGGGGAAGTGTTTCTTTCAAGCGAAAGCCACAAAAATCACCTTCCCGGGGTCCGGCGGGACAGCGGGGGGAGGGGAAATCGCGCCGTACTATGCGGGAGCGGGATTCGCGCCCGAGGTGCCCAAGGACGATTTGGGACCTCAAATGCGACACTGTCGTCACTTTATTACCTTTCACCGCGCTCCCCTTCTCAACGGAAAGGCTCCCATCCGTGAAACTGTCGTCATTTTTCAGCCCC